TCTCACCCAACGAGTTAGCAAGAACTCGATTTCTTTTACTGGCTTTTAGCAGTTCCAAAAAAAATTTTTGATCTATAACAGATCAGGCCTTCCTTCGAAGATCCAGGTATCTTGTCCTTTTTCAGTTCCAGGCTCTGATACCACTGAAAAGGCCCAAGCCACACACAATATTAGAACAAGAATACAAAGATCCAAGAAAATACTGAAAGTAATAAGTTGCAGAAAATCAAAATGAACACAGGATATGTTTTTGGCCTAAGCCCCGGAGGTTCGGCGACCAGATCTAACGCCTACATCCCCCGTTGAGCATCCAAATAATGGATATTGCTCGGTTGCACTAACAAGCCAAAAATATGGCAACAACAGTTACAAGATTTGTACAAGGCTGAAAGCAAACAGACACTTATCTTTTCAGCCTTCGATCGATCTTCCTTTACAGCACAAAATAAGACCAGATCACACAAGATCAGTCAAAACCACTCATTCACAGCCCGAATCACAGAAGACTCAGCACAACAATCACTCAAAGACTCAAGACTTCCTCCTAAACAGAAGATCTACTTTGAGAGTAAAACCGTTTACAAGAATCAGATGTAAACCCTAAAAGAATGAGTTGATTCTCTCTACAGACGAAGACCTAACCCTAGAAAATTGAGAGAGAATGAAAGACCAACTGAATCCATCGAATGAATGAGGCGTCTCTCAGAAGTTAAGGAGTCGAAGTCTCTAGAATGTCATCCAACGGCCAAGTGTGGTGCCAAGTGTCAACAATCCAGCCAAGGCACCTTAATAATAAAAGTGTCATTCCAAGTAACACGTTTTTAGCCAATTGTTGGAAGCACACTTTCAGCCAGCCATGGTCATGGGTTCGAATCTCAACACCACTGGCTCACAATTCTTAAGCCAAATATTTGTGAACAATTCAAAATAATTATCAGTTATTGATAGAGGTCAAAGGTCAGGACAACACATATTTATACAGAGATAGGCAAATAAAAGAACCAGCTCATTAAGGTATATTTCTGTGAAGGAGATATGCCACTGATGACATATTAATGTCACTCATAATAGGGTCCGAGCGAATATGAATATTTTCTTGGTCATAAATACGTATGCAAGAAGAGGGAAGTGTAGCTCTAGATTGGGTAAAACCAAAACGGAGTACGGCACGGGAGAATTTAGCAAACCATTAACGAGATGCCTACTTCAAACCATAAATGGATTTACGTAGGCGACACATTCGATTGTCATTGGTGGATGAGTAACCAAAAGGTGGTTTCATGAAGACTTCGTCAAGGTCGCCGTGTAAAAATGCATTATGAACGTCAAGTTGATGTAAATCCCATGATTTGGTGGCCGAAACAGCTAACAAGGTCCGTACGGTGGTAAGTTTGGCAACTGGCGTAAAGGTCTCATTGTAGTCAAGCCCCTCAATTTGTGTATAACCTTTGGCGACCAAGCAAGTTTTGTACCGCTCAACTGTCCCGTCAGAGTGATATTTAATCTTGTAAACCCACCGTGAACCAACGGCCTGTTTGCCGGGGGGTAATGGCTCCAAAGTCCAAGTGTGATTGTGCTCAAGTGCTTCCAACTCCTTTTTCATTCCTTCCTGCCAACGGGCATGCTGAATGACTGTTTATAGGACTTTGGCTCATCATTGGCAGTGATGGCCACAAGGAAACTGGTATGCGGTGAAGTAAACTTTGAATATGAGAGAAAATGACTTAAATGGTAGGACAAACCTGAGGAAGTAGTGTTGGAAGAGGAGGGAGAAGGCCTATTATTCCGCAGCAAATCAACATGGAAGTCTCGAAAATGGGACGGAAACTTCCTTATACGAGTGGGGCGTTGTTCAGTGATAGAATCAGGAAGATAGGTCGCAACTGAGGCAGTTCAGCGTCTATGGAAATGTCATCAGGTATGGAGGCAGAAGGATGGTGGCTGGCGTTTGTAGGTTGGTCAGGTGTTGATGCGTAATCAAGGTCTAGAACAGGCAAGGGCACATGAGTGGTTGATGTTGAGGTTGGAACAGGAGAGGAAATGGAAGAGGGAAGATGGAAAGGGAAAATATGTTCATAAAATTTTAAATCCCGAGAGGTGAAAATTTTGCGCGTAGTTAAATCATATACCTTATGCCCTTTTTGACCAAGAAAGCCGATGAAAATGCAAGTAGATGCACGCTCTTGGAACTTATCTCTGGAATGAGGAATGACGGAGGCATAACAAAGGCACCAAAAATACGAAGATGTGAATAATTTGGTTTTTGAGAAAACAAAACTTCATAAGGGCTCTTACCAAGCAGAAGCAGTGTGGGGGTATAATTGATTAAATAAACTGATGTTAAGATGCATTCCCCCCAAAATTTAATGGGCAAATTAGCTTGAAACCGTAAGGCTCTAGAAGCTTCAATGATGTGTCTGTGTTTACGCTCTACAACTCCATTTTGTTGAGGTGTGGTGACACAAAAAAATTAGGTCAAAATCCCAATTTGGTGACAGAAAAGTTGAAAGTTATGATTCATGAATTCAGTTCCATTATCACTACGAATTCGTTTAACATCTTTCCCGAATTGTTTATTAATCATAGCGATGAAGAAAGTGAGCTTAGCGTAGACTTCGGCCTTGGTTTTGATCAAATAAACCCAAGTGGATCTGTATAATCATCGACAATGCTCAAAAAAGAAGTGGCACCAGATAAAGACGGGGTATGATATGGTCCCCGAACATCACAATGAATTAACTCAAAAGAGTCGAGCGTTTTAATAGAACTAGTAGAAACGGGTTTGCCAATTTGTTTCGCTCTATGACAAGGATCACAACAATTATTAAAAGATGTAATAGAAGGTAAATTTAAAACACGAAGAAGAGGTAGTTTGTCAAACGATAGATATCCAAGGCGTTGATGCCAAATGAGAAGCCAAGAGTCAATGGTAGTGTTGGAAGCAGCTGTGGAGACTTTGATTGCCCGAAAATAATAGAGTCCATCTCGTAATTCACCCATTCCAATCAGCTTCCTCGTGGCTAAGTCTTGTAACACACAAAATGAAGGGAAGAAGTGAGCAACACAGTTTAAGGATCTGGTCAGCTTACTGATAGATATAAGGTTGCAAGTAAAAGAAGGCATATGTAGGACATCCTGCAAAGTGACAGAGGATTAAGAGGGACATCGCCATAAGATTTGGCAGACAAATATGATCCATCTGGAATTTTAATTGGAGAAAAGTGTGATACAGCTTTAGGGAAAGCTAACAATTTTTCAACATACGTCATATGGTCGGAAGGACCGGAGTCCAAAACCCATTCAAACGCACAATTGGACAGAGAAGTCGGCTTACCAGCAAAATTGGCAGTGGAATCATGTTGTTTATCCAGTTTTAACATAGTAATAAGTTGAGCATACTGCTCGTTTGTCAACCCATTAATTGGTATAGCATTGTTACCCTTATTAGTTTCCACACATTCCAACTCATTGGCCATCCCAAGTCTGGACGGCTTCTTTCTTGTATCCCACCACTTTGGATAGCTATGTAGTTCGAAGGATGTGTCTCGAGTGTGTTTGGTCTTCTTGCAGTAGTCATAAAATTCCTTGGAGGGGTCACAATTTCCTGTGGGTTTACAACTGCCATGAGGACTGTTGGTATTTGTGCTGAACGCTGCTCCCTTGACAGAGGGTAATCTGGATGCTGTCACTAACTGTTGGTGCTCCTCTTATGGCACAAGTGCATAAGAACGTGATAAGGAAGGTAGTGGATCCATGTTTAAGCTTCGAGATCGCACGACATTGTATTTTTCATGTAAACCCATAAGAAATTGGTATACTTTTTCTCTCCCTCTCTACAGCAAGTGCCTTAGCAGAGCCACAGGTACACAATGGAATTTGAGAGCATGTGTTGAGTTCGTCCCAAATTTCCTTCAATTTTGTATAGTACACTGAGACGATCATCCCTTGTTGCAAAGTATTCATCATCTCTGTCTTTAACTGATGAACAGGGGGAGCGTTCCCTTGTGAAAAGCGTTCTTCCAGATCATTCCACATTTCATGTGTTGTCATGAAGCGTTACATTATCATGGAGAGTGGAATGAATATAGTTAAAAATCCACGAAATTACCATGGAATTGTATTTGATCCAGGAAGACTCTTCTGGTGAACCAGGTATTGGACGTTTGATAGATCCATCTACAAAGACGAACTTGCTTTTGGCGTGAAGTGCATTGGTCATTGCCCGACGCCATGTGGGGTAATTTTCTTCTTAGAGCTGGCAGGTCACCAAGTTTGTTCCTGGAGTAAGGTGATGAAGTATCACAACTGGATTGGTTGTTGTTTAATTGATTACTATTGGAGTTATTGCTTGAAGCATTGGAAGCCAAAGGCAAGGGGCTGTCTTCGGCCATGGAAAAGTATGGTCCTAGGGTTCTACTGCTCTGATACCACGATAAATTAGGAGGTAGAAAGACTAAATTTTATTATCACCACACAATGGAAATATATATCGAGACTCTACAGAAAAATACCGTGAATAAAAGATTACAAATTGATATTAGAGTGCTAAAAATAGAAAACGGAATAGAGGTGATAGAAATAAATATGGAAAGAAAAATATGCTGTGATCTGGTTCCATATTATCGGCCTAACATTCAATAATGTGAAGAATATTATAAATTGTATATAATTAACTTATTTATATTACAAAGTAGAAGACCCTATTTATAGGGTTACAAATAACTGTAAAAGAAAACAAACAGAAAAGGAAATATTACGTAATCTACTACTAAGGAAAGTAAATATTATAATCGCAATCTTTGACGATCTATGTAATCTTATTCAATAAATAAAAGGAAAGATTACATAATCAACTAATAAGGAAAATAATCCTACACTGAAAGGAAATATTATAATGGAAAATATTATAAAGATTATTCTTTCTATATCTTCAACACCCCCCCCTCAAGATGGACCATGTTGACTTGATTATGGTCATCTTGGACTGTAGGGAAAAGAACATGAGATGCAAAAATCAGAATTGTTACTCCCTTGAGCATCAGCTGCATAATTCAGCACAAATTGCTCGGAAAGAGCTGCTGAATCCTTTGGAGCATTCCATGAGGTTGAAATTGAATCCGAATTACCATGTTGTTGGTATTGAAACCTATCCTTGAGGTCATTCCAAATGGCAGATGATCTGAAGCCAAAGTTATCTTCAGATTTGACATCCATAATCGGAGAAAAAATAGACCATGGAATCGGATTAAATTCCATGAAAAACTCTCAACAATGGCGGAATAACGCATTGATGGAGATGACTGTTGACATCCTCCGCTCTTGCTGCACATGCAGGAATCGAAACCGGAGGCTCGGAGATTAAAAACTTAGGAGCAGCTGGAATGACCATCAGACGTTGAAACTGAGTAAAATTTAGGAGTAGCTGGAATGAACATCAGCTGTTGAAACCGACTAAAATTCAGATCTGAACGAAGTTCCTAATGGAGAATCTGACGAATTCGACCCTGATGAAGATTCTGACGGAAGTAATGAAGAGACACCAAACAAGGCTGACCAAAGTAGCCCACGCATATAAAATGTCACAACTGTGGTTCTTCTGTTCCTGGAAATGGCCTATAGAGATTCCGAGTCTACGCCTATGGTTTGCTGTGATATCTGCCAACGTTGGGTGCCCTGTCCGTGTGAAGTACATGCAATCTCAAGCAGATGGAAATATGCATTATGTATGTCCAGCATGCCGGGAAGAATGCAACCATGTTAGGAATCTCGAAGAAGCTGTTCAGGAGCTTTAGAGGCGAAAAGATGAAGCTGATAGAGATTTAAATGCAAGCTTGAGAACATCTGTTGGATTGCCGACTCAGGAAGAAATTTTCGATAATTCACCTTTTACAGATGATGAAAAGTATGAATCTGGAATACCTAATAATGAATATGGCCGTACTCTGAAGTTCTCTCTTAAGGGGTTAGATGATAAATCGCCAAAAATGAGTAAAGAACATGGAAAAAGATCTTCAAATAAGAAGTATGGTAAGAAAAAAGGGAAAAGAAACATTTTTAATCAAGAAAGCTGAAGCACGCCAGAATTCAGGACAGTTACTGCTGCTTATGATTACAAGATTGTTGAAGTTTGTTGCAAATGCCGGATCTGAGTTTGGAACTGTGCCTGATGTTGACTTTGAAGGTTTATTTGGGTCTGAGAACCTGGCTGTACAGACAATCCTTGTGGTTGATACTGCACTTCATGCTGTTGGAAAGACGGCTTTTGTTGCAGCGCTGCTCATTGAGTGCTAACTCTTCAGGTTTTTCCCACTTGCTTTCTCAGTTGTACTGTTGTAATAATATTTGTATCTATCAAGAGCAGTATGCTCTGTCCAGTTACATTTAATAGGAGCAGTAAAGACCTGACAATTGACAAATTTGCATAGATCTTTTGACACAGAGGCCAAAGTAGAAGCACAGTGGGTGGTGCTGTCCATGCATCGTTAACTCACACCTCGAGACAAACCAGTGAATGAAATTTAAAAACATGAAAATAAGAGATTGCTGGACTTCTGAGGTCTAAAGAAGAAAAGATGGGAATGTCAAATGTTGCGGCTGTTGCATGTCCAATGGTTGGAAAATCAGTGAAAATCAGCTCCAGACAAGGATATTTCTTTGCAGCCGCAAAGTTTTACTCCCAGCTAGAGTCTTCTGTTGTTCAATTCTTCCAGCCGCAATTGGTTTCTTCCTTCAGCACCCCCTCTGCCTCTTTCTGTCTGTCTGCGAATATATATTAAATACGCTTTTCTTTTTTTTTTGGGAAAAGATATAGTTGACTGGACGATGTGGACACTGTATATGGAAAAAAAAAATTGAGATAAGGATCGTGTGTTAATGAAACGAAAAGAAAAAAATTGGCCGGGCAAGCAGCCAAAGGCCACTCGTCGGAAACAAAATTTAAGGGATAATTTGTTTAGGATAGTAACAACTGATACCATGTGAAGAATACTATAAATTGTATATAATTAATTTGTTTCTATTACAAAGTACAAATAACAGTAAAATGAAATAAACAAAAAATGAAAGATTACATAATCAACTACTAAGGAAAATAATCCTGCACTGAAAGGAAATATTATAATGGAAAAAATTATAAAGATTATTCTTTCTATATCTTCAACAAATAACAATGTTGAAATTGAGAGATAGAAATGCAATTGAAGTACAAGGTTGCTGAGAGAAGAAAAAGAAGGATAAAAGAATGTTCTAACATAATGAGGAAAAGAAAGCCAGTAGGAATGTTCTCAAGTGAATACTCCTCAATCAACAGGCGAGACAGAGAAAGGACTGAAATGTGTTTTTTAATGTCCTTTCTGTTTGTTTTTCTTAATTGTTTTAAGCAGGAAAGAGGAATTGGCTGACGAATTACTGTATGTCAATGTAGCGATAAGCATTTCATCAAAGCAAGTACTTTAATATTACCAAGTGAGAATCAACATGGAGAATTAAACACAAAGAATCTCCTTTGTGTCATCTGAATCATTAAACACGTGAACTTCTTTTCCTTGCGAGAACGAACTGAATTAGAAGTGTTCCCTGCACTTCCCACACGGTGTATTGCAGAAACCTAAAGGATAAGTTGGGCAAATAATAAATACTAAATATATTTAAATGCCTCTTGATATTATTGTTTGGAGATGGAAATACTAATATTGTCTTACTTAATAATTGCAAAAATTCATGAATATTTTTAGAGCAGAAAAGTCAAGAATAATGAGGATTGAACAAGTCTTTGATAGCTTTCTTTTTCCATGGAAAATGGAATTCCATTTTCCACAAAAAATGGTGTTTGATTTACAAAATTATACCAATCAAACACATTTAATTAACAAGTCCCTGCAAAACATTTTCTAGGTAATTACTTTTCTTGGAATTCATTTTCTTTCCACCCATTTTCCACCCTTGCAATCAAATGGACCCTTAGATTTTTGGACGTGCTTTTATTTGTAACTCTAACATCAATAAAGGCTGATGTTGGTCTAGGTAGAGGCACAAAGCAGAAACACGTCAACTTGTTAGGGATGCTAGGAAGTGAAGTCAAATAATCTTAACAACACATTCAAGTAATCTAGCATGCAATACTTCTCCAGAACCAACACCAAGAAGGAATAAAATGTATGTTGCATATTCATTGCGACAAAATCTGATTCACAAGGCTGCACTGCTCTATCCTCATAATGATTTTCCTTTGAAAATCATAAACGTGTGAATATATGTTACTTAAAGATAACCTACTCAATGCGACAAGAAATCACTATTTCTTGCAAGAGCACTCCGGATGAGCAAACCCCAGCCCCATGCACACCACAAACGTCAAATACTTAATCTCGAATCCGTGGAATGTCCATATCTGTAGATGCTTTGGAATGCCAATGTCTCTATCATCTAATTTATTTTCCTGTCAAAATCAAAATCATAAGCATATGAATATATAATACATTAATACTAAAAGATAATCTACTCACCGCGACATGAAATCTCCATTTATTGCAAGAACACTCCACGGGAGCAAACCACCCAGCCCCATGCACGTCACAAATATAAATGTACAACTTCACCCCAAATCGGATGAATGTCCATAACATAGATGCTTTAAGCTTGAAGAAATGAAGGTTGATTGCAATTTATCTACTTACTTCCTAATTTCTAATACGATAAAAAAAAATTTCAGGTAAAACTAATACAAATTTTCAATTATTTAGTAAAGTTAAATATCCACCAATGTCATGTAGATTCTCTATTCCTTTTATGAGTCTTAATCAAAAGCCCTCATCCTAGAATTCTCATTATATTATGTGACAGTGTTGGAGTTGTGACATTTTGTTGTCACATGAAGAATTGTATTTTTATTGTAATCTAGTTTGTAGCTAGTTTAGTTGAAATGTCCAACTAAGTTGATGTTAAGTTAGACTAGATTATAACTAGTACAAGTCAAAGTAGTAAACCACTCTACAAGTAAGTTCTAGTAGCAAAGTTGAAAGCTACTACTTGCAAGAGGATTGTCAAGAGATAGAAAATATCTCTAAATATCTTGTAGAATATCTAGTAAGTTTGGCTATAAATAGAGCCAANCATATGTTTTTCTTATGTTTTATGCTTGAAAAAAGCCGGTAAGCTATGCATCAACCGGTATACAATTCATGTTTTGTTAAGTCTTCAATACACTCCTCCATACACAAAATCAAAGATGTTAAGGGCTCTTTTAAAAGAGTCTTAGATCAAAGTCAAAATCCCAACAGACAGGAACTACTAAGGTTCACATGGCCGTAAGCTTCTATGTACAGCAAACAAAACTACTTTTGATATTGTAGATGCTATCATTGTACAGTTACATGCGAAACTCAGGAGATGTATAACTGAAAATAAAGGTTATGTCTGGGCATTACGTGTATTGTGTGTCCAAATGAATTTTATAATGGTTAGGATGACATTTTTTAAGAAAGGATCAGTTCTTAATGGATTTGGATCTCTTGGGAGCCACAAAAAGGTAATTTTCTTTTATGCAAAACAGATGCGCGAAAGTGATTACTGGGGAGTGTAATTTAAAAGGTGGGGTCCATGGAGAGGAATAAAACCATAGAAGTACGTTTATTCGTGAAGGATGATTCGAGGAAGTTTGTAAGGAAGTCAACAACTTTAATGATTCGTATAACTATTTAATTTATTTATAAATAATGAGGAGGGAAGAAATATATACAAGTGAGTAAAAAATATCGGCTAGAAGGAAGAGAAAAAACGAAAGGAAGCACTTCTATTGAGACCTGAAGTTAGGAAGTAGCTAATTTGATCCAGAATTTTCTTAATTACCATATTTGGCTAGTGAAAATTTGCAGGTGAACAATACCTTGAAAGTCAATAAACAAGTAAGATGGAAGAGGGAGGATAATAGCTAATCCTGCAATATTGAAAGTCAATAAAAAAGCAAGAGGGAAGATAATAGCTAATCCCGCAATATTGAAAACGAAAAGTAGCATGGCTTCAAGCTTAATCATTTAAAAAACTTTACAAGAATTAAATTGTTTTCTTTCCCTACCCTACATTCATCCTAACTGAAAAGTAATTATAGTATCAAAAATTGCACAGTAAAAAAAATAATAATAATAATTGAGTAGTGGAGATTATAAAATAGTAACTGTGATCAAAAGTAATCACAATTAAGATAGTATAAATATGATAACCGATAATCCCACCATATTGAAAATGAAAAGCAGCATTGCTTCAAACTTTATCATTTAAAAACTCTACAAGAATTTATCCCAGCTTATAAGTAAACTAGGTGCAAGCAACGTGCAATGCACGTTTGTCTAGTTTATATTTAATAGTTTTGTTTAAGAATTAATTTGTTATTAATAAAGATGTAATTTTTTTGGTTAATTAAATAATTAATGATGTAATGTTTATGTAATTGATAAATAATTAGATGTGTGATTTTGACGTCGTGATGTAAGTTGGTGAGATCGANAAATAATTAGATGTGTGATTTTGATGTTGTGATGTAAGTTGGTGAGATCGAAGAAAATAAGAAAAAGTTGACAAAATGGCTAAATTGTAAGGAATCCAAAATTCGGGGACTAAAATGTAAATACTTGAAAGTTGTGCAGAACCTCACGATGAAGATTTGAGAGTACTCGGAGTCAAATGGATAAAGGAAGATGTCAACGGAATCAAATTTAGTCAAAAGATGATCACAAATCAATTTCCAACCAAAAAGTTATGCTCTCATATTGAAACCTATTTTTAGCATAGAAAGTGA